TTGTAAACGTTAATAACGAGTAAAATCGTCATTAAGTCCGACCATACTCGAAATATGACAAGCGATCCCCCTTTATCTCCTCACCCTCTGGATCTTTAATCACCAAAATTTAATAGCATCAATCCCCCTAATATACAAATATCATTGCAAAATTTCAGAAATTTTCGACAAAAAGCACAGGAGTTATTAAACTTCAAAGTGGGTGAACAAAAATGCTCCCCCACAAAAATTCATAATACAGAAAAAAGCATCGAATATTTTTGCATTTCTGGACATTTCGAGCCCAAAAATATAAAAATCTTGAGGGGGTCATTTTTTGATCGATCGCCATACTTTCCCTCTATTATATATAACAGCCGGGAATGTAAAAGAACTTTACAACTTTGAAAGCATATAGAATCTTAACTCTTCGGGAGTTGGCAAGCCCAATTCTGATCCATTTGAAATTAAGTATAGCATTGTACTAAGTATTCTCTAAAGGACATCTTGCTAAGTGTCAATCTGCATATATAAATAATTGATTTTTCTAATGTATTTGAAATTAAATGTAATTCTATCCAGTGATGTAGTTGCAAAAAAGTGGGTATGCTGTCTACCGTTTAACTACATTATGCTTATGAAAACCAAGTGGACCATTGATATTGACTATCGGCAATATGAACGGTAGGGCAGTATCCCGACTAGGCTAGCAATGTTACCAACACGCGAACATCAGTCCAAAAATTGTAATAAATTGGGAATTTCCTAGCAGAAATAGCGCAAACTTTAAACTAATTTTGATCAGTTACAATGACTTGAGTAAGTCTACTGTAATTTTAAAAAATAGCAGTATTTTCTTTCATCTCTGAAGCCACCTATACTCGACTACATAACTAATTTGATCGATAACAATACTATAAATAAAAATAACAAATACAGTCCAACTTTCTTAATCCGATTCTCATAGGACTAGAGAATTGTGTTGGATTATTGACTTTATACGGATTACTGAAACATTACTCTAAAAGTGCTTCAATTGATTTATTAAAATGTCAGATGTTTTAGATTGTTTTTGCCATCTTTTTATGTGGACATTTCATTTTCTTATGTTTATTTTTAAAGCTAATAGTTGATCTAATAAATATGGTTATTTTTTCTTGAGAAAACAAAAAGTTTATTAATTTTAATGGTCTACTATGGATACTAGTAATCTTTTTCTTCTACTTCTGTCTCGTTGTCTTCATTCTTTTATCTCGCGACAATATTGTTATAATAAATTATTATTGCAATTTACTAGATTTTTTTCATGCAACTGTTTCTTTAATATCTTAACATTTCTACTTCTAACAGTAGGTAATGTCTTGACAATTGCTATTACCCGAATATCCTCAAAGATATGGTGTGTTATAAATTCTAACCTTCTGTTATGGTCACCAGGATACAATGCCTGTAGTAACTGGAACTTAATATGCAGATGGTTTTTAAAAGGAATTGTCTGTATTGTTGATTTCCTATGGCTCCGTTCGAACACATCCTCGGATGCGCTCAATGTCTGCTCGTTTCAAAAACATTTTCGCCTAGAAAACTTTAATATTCTTGTAGAACTACTGCTAATGACCACTTTCAATTCATCTCGCACATACACAATCTTGCTAATAAAATGGTTAGATAGTATTAAATGAATAGCCATAGCAAAACTAATAGTATTGAATGAATTACTGTATATCGAAAGCTCAGAACTATTTTAACTGGTTACTGTAACTATGTCAATTATTCACACTTCTCTAGTTTCTCTATGGAAAAGATATATAAAGCTGTTTCTTTTCTTTGAACTCGTTGAACACGGCTGTGGATAGCAATAAAACATCGTCGAGATTTAGAAGAGACCGGGGCGGTTAGAACACGGGGTATATTGAAACACTCGTGCTATTTTTTTATGCAGCCTATGAAATATTTCATCCCGTTACATGCAGTTGAGGGTGGGGCAACCGGCATGCTGATGTAATGGTAGGAGCATAGCGGCGGAAGCATTGTAGTTTGAAGAATTTTTCTGATTTACGGGCGGAGGAGTAACTTTTTTTCATGCCAGAATTGTTATTTTTTGTTCGTGAATACACTTCTGTTAATCTTTTCTATTTGGTCTATAAGAAGAGTGGATATTCTCATGCAGAATTATTAAAGTTCGGTCAAGGCACACCTAAGTACCATTTTGGTATTAAATGACGTCATCAAAAAGACTTCTCGGGGCACGTAGCAACAAATGGGATGGGGCAAGTTGAAAGTTTTCCAACGTGTCCCGTATTTGCGATGTATTTAAAATCTACCAATTTTCCGTTTCTCAAAATGGTACGAAACGATAAAATACAGAAGAAAATACAGAAATGAGCGAAGAGAAGATGCTGAATGCAGTCAGAAGGGTTTTGGAATCGAATGAGTTTGCGCGTGTTGTGGTAAAGACTAGCAAAATACCACATGTGACTATACAGATATGTGCAGAATGTTAAAAAAATATGAATAACTAGGCAGCATTTTGACGGAAATATTATGCACATTAATTCTTCCCATTCGATATCATGTTTGTTCTTACTAACAGGTGTAAACAAATCACCCACACCGTCTCGGTCGTTTCACCAGCAATGCATTCATGAAAATACATGTAGCGTATTGCAACTGAAAATGAGCTATGCAACACCAAACATCTTTACTGATTCTCAAGAAAGTTATGTGGCTTATTACATTGAAGAAGCTAGCGGTATTTACTTTGGCCTTGCTTCTGATGGTGTTAGGCGGCCGGCTTATGAGGTTGCAAAAGTGAACAACACAGATCCCAACATTATAGGCAAAAAAAAAAGAAATGAAAAAGTTGATGATGCGGTAAAAGAATGGTGCACATGAAAAATGCATGGATAGTGCATCCATTCTACGAATGCCATCATTATGACTCAGATGACTCTGCATAAAATTACCTTAAAATATCTCCTGGTCTTTCTAACCATTGTGCGACTAAAGTATGATATTCAGAATGGAATTAATTATTTTCAACATAAGAATGAAGACATATGTCTCTATCATACACATATTAGTTGTCATGGTTTCATATTAGTCAGAATATATAGTTCCAACTTATCCCATGCTTTGTTTCAATATACTCCAGATACGCGGTAAATTGAAACAAACGGCATTCTGAAAAATATTTTTTTCTGAAAATACTGTTCATAAAACATTAAAACAGATAATACATAATGGCGTTCAACTAATTGTCACGTCTGATGACGTGACTTTCAGCATGCTAACATTAACGGTTATTCAATAAAAAATCCAAACCATATTACTGTTCCAACTTGCCCCGATCTCCTCTACTCTGAACTTCATTTACGAATCACTTTATCGTCGTAGCTATAGAAAGACTTCTCAAGGCGTTTGGAGTCATGCATTATCTGAAGACACGTTTCGTTTTCCAGTGGCGAGTTGGTTCACTGGGAAGGCCTTTCATTGTCTGAAAGGCCTTCCCAGTGAACCAACTGGGTCGAAAATATGGAAAGCCGTCGTTTGCTCGGCGACTTTCCATATTTTTATATGTTACATTTCGCTCGAAAAAAATAAATGAATAAACAAAATAAACTATGTCTATTGTATTAAAATTTAAAAATTCTTATTATAAATCAGGCCTCAATCCATTCGCGACCCAATTCACCCGAATTTTTCTAACCTTGTAGTCACCTTGTGAGAATTTCTTTTCTGTATTAAATACAGGTAACGCTGAAAAGACAGTGTTTTCAGTATTATTTGCTTGATGAGCATTCCATCGTGGTGAAAAAATTTTTTCCGGTTTTTCTTAACAATCGTGGGTTTTACCTAAGCTGTCAATCATGTAACAAAGCCCGACATATACCCCAAAAAACTTCTAGTGTTCGTCGTCCGCCTGAATTCAATTTCATTCTCCCACAGAGATATGGTTTAATCACCCCGACAATCAGGCTGGCGATATACATATACAGTATATATTGACCTGTGCTTTTATATATTCCCCGGCTGAAATTTGTTGCTAGTCCGACGCTGGAGTTTTTTACAATCAATTAAATTAAATACAATAAACAGCAGCCAAATTTTTAGTATAATAAATTCTGCGACCACTATCACAAAAGCACGAATTCTCAAATACAGAAATCTGATTGTATACCATTATTATATCTTTTGCTACTGTTAATGTTTCTAAGCAAGAATTTTTCTGAAAACAATGACTGCTGGGTCTTCCTCAAATTTTTTATTTCATTTTAACGAAAGAAGGAGAGAAAATAGGGGAAGGGAAGAAGGTGGGAGTGGAGATAGAAAGAAGAGAAAGGAAGGATTCTCTCGGAGGATATACAAAAAGTTACTACTCCAAGATTAATATTGGCATGCAGTTTTTAGGCTGATCCTCATGTAACAATTTTAGTAAAATCTACCATAGAGAAGCAAAGAATGATTAATAATGTATAAATACTGTAATCATAAAGCAACTATACACGTACAGTAGATAAAAGTTTAACGTTATTACTTGATTATCAAGTTTGATTATTGATAATATATAAATACTAGTAAACTATGAAACATGAATAAACTAAGAAACTTGTTTCTTATTTTATTCATATTTAAATATCTAGAAGGAAAAATAAGTATTAATAAATAATAATTAAAAAATTTTTATTACAGGATCATGCAATACACAAGTGTAATCACGAACTCTACGGATTCGCCTTCTACAGAATCATCAAGTATCGCCATAAAAATCCTTGTTGGCATTATCCTCTGTCTTATAATATTTCTTTCTATAACAGGAAATATTCTAGTTTGCATCGCTATATGCACCGATCGTCGTCTTAGAAAATTGGGTAATTTATTTCTAGTGTCCTTGGCTGTCGCAGATTTATTTGTGGCGGCGTTAGTGATGACCTTTGCAGTTGCAAACGATTTAATGGAGTATTGGGTATTTGGACAGCAGTTCTGTGACACTTGGACAGCGTTTGATGTTATGTGTTCTACAGCTTCTATTCTTAATTTATGTGCCATTAGTCTCGACCGATATATACATATTAAAGATCCGTTGAGGTACACTCGATGGATGACAAAAAAGATTGTTCTACTGAGTATAGTCGCTATATGGTTATTATCGGTATTAGTGTCGTTTCTACCTATTTCTCTTGGTTGGCATAAACCAAAGAACCATATTCAAAAAACTATCGAAGAAAAACCCGTTTGTGCATTAGAATTGACAGCGTTATATGCTGTAGTATCATCTGTTATTAGTTTTTATGTTCCATGCATTGTAATGGTTGCTTTGTACAGTAGATTATATTATTACGCGAGAAAACATGTCGAAAGTATTAGAGCTGTGACCAAAATTACTCCATGTGATCAAATAAACAATCCAATAAGATCACTCAGCCATAGCTCTCATATTACGACTGATCACAAAGCAGCCATTACACTGGGTATCATTATGGGTTCGTTTTTAGTGTGTTGGATGCCATTCTTCTGTATCAACATTGTCGCTGGATTTTGTAAAACATGTATTTCTGACGACGTCTTCAAGACACTTACGTGGCTGGGATATTGTAACTCTGCTTTAAATCCAGTTATTTATAGTATTTTTAACACGGAATTCCGTGATGCTTTTAGAAAAGTATTAGTTACGTATTTCCATACTGACTGTTGTTCCGTGAGTAGATGTCATTCCTACCATAAATCAAGAAAAAGTCGAACCTGCGATGGAAAATTGTATATGGCACCTTCCGGTTTTAATCAAAGAACGGATGATCCTTTGAAAGAAACAAATGGTGACAGTACACAAATATAACATTTGCAAAGAAAATATTTGAGAATATTTTTGAAATTATCGTCATAATTAATTAATTAGATAAGTAAATACTGTATTGTGTTTAATCGATGATGAAACCCACCGACATTTTTCGTTTTAAATCATTTTAAACGATGTTAATAACTATAATTTACATGTTACGACAATCAACATAAAAACGAACTGTTTTTACATTAATGTTCGGCGAAGAAAAGTTAATGACAACTAAACAATAAATAAAAACAATAGAATATATTTCATGTATTTCAAAAAAAGAAATGAAAAAGCTGATGATGCGGTAAAAGAATGGTGCACATGAAAAATGCATGGATAGTGCATCCATTCTACGAATGCCATCATTATGACTCAGATGACTCTGCATAAAATTACCTTAAAATATCTCCTGGTCTTTCTAANATTTTTAGATATCTTAAATCACGTCTCCATTAAAATTTAAAGTAAAAACGAAACGTTTGTTAACTAGATCAATAAAAATATATTTGAGATTGAATTCGACACAATAATGTAATTGTTAATTTCCTTCGTACCTCGGCAATGCTTCGACATCAACGTTAAAAATAAAAAGAATCACATTTAAATAAGACAATATTTTACATTTTTCTTAATCTGTATTTATTTCTGAATTTTAACTAAAGAAGAAAATTGCATTTTAATGTATTGAAATTTAAATAAGATCATTAAAATATTACAAACGATTTAGTTACTTTTAAAAAACCATTTTATTTATTCTTATAACTTTAAATAATTTATTACTCGTGTTCAGGATACTTTGAAGTATCAGTAATATTTAAAAAAAAAGACGAAACATTTGTGAATTTGTCGGATTCTTAATGTAAACAAGGTCATCTTATCTATAAGACCTGTTTTTTTTCTTCTTTTTATTTCCCCTTTCTTTCTTGTTCCTATTCAAAACATTCTACTACTATATATACATATATATAGATGCATATAAATATATCAGATGCAAGGTAAGACATACAAATTTTGTTTCTCACGTTTCGGAACTTACATATCAGCCTTAAATCTATAAAAAAAAAGAAAAAAATCTGAGGAATATACTAAAGCCTTCGTTGTTTCTGTAATAAATAACTTTATATAACTCTCACGAAGTAGTAAAACTTGTAAAAATTTCGAATAATTTACAAACTCCGAACATATCTAAAGTACATTTACTTTTTTCTCCACTAAAAAATGAATAATAAATTTTATCAACTTATGAAAATTACTTTTTAAAGTCTCAACTAAAACGAAATAAAAAAAGTTTTCTGAAGTAAAATTTTCTTGTTTAATTATAATATATAGTTTCTTTCGGAAATAAGTTAAATCATTTATATATATATTATATATTATATGAACATAAGAATGGTTTTTGTTGCCATAAAATAAATAACATTAACTATATTTTACTATTTTTATATTATATATTAATTAAAAAATTTAA